AGTGACACAATATTGGCTCAAAATAAACATTTATAAATTAAAAATGTATATTATGATCCCCACAGCCAATAAGCAGATAAAAGGAAATGATGAAAAAAAACTATTAACCCCCCCAAAAAGGAATAGGTTCAACAAAGCAGAAAATCAAGAGGAACAAGTAACAAATAAGGAATATGTAATTAAACCCAGGGACATGAGAATTACATTAAGTGTAGATGAACTAAACATTCCAGTTAAAGGTAGAAGTTTTTGGACTGGATTAAAAAAACAAAGTTCCAACTCTCTGCTTACTGCTAGAAATATAACTTCAATATACAGATGAAATAGGTATGGATTAAAAGAGTGGAGAACATATATTTACAAAACATCACCATTAAAAGTGGCTGTATTAATATCTGACAATATAGTCTTCAAGACAAGGAGTGTAGAAAAACAAAGAGGGACATTGCATTATTGTTAAAGGATCAAATCATTGGGAAAACATAAGAATCCTAAATATAGTGTGCACTTAATGACAGAGCTTCCAACACGTGAACCAAAACCTAGCAGAAATAGACAAACTCACAGTCCTAGTTGGAGATGTTAATACTCTTTACTCAGAAGTTGGTGGTGTTACTGGACCAAAGTGGGTCCACTCCTTAGTGAGTTGAAATCCTTCACCAGAAGTGATTGTCACACAAAGCAAAGTTTTATTTGCAGCAAGCAGCAACCAGAAGGAGACCACAGGGAACAATTTCACAAAGCTGTGGTCCCCGGAGCCACGGGAGGTGGGTGCCTTTATTTGGGGTAGAGAATGAATATTCAAAAAGGGAAGTTTCGTGATTGCATGTAGAGGTGGGTACAAGGTTGTACATGTGTAGTCTGACAACGTGCCTTCACATCCATCACATGCTATGCTAATAAGGCTTAAGCTCCTTCTGGGCAGTGATTTTAGCATTATAACAAGGCATACTTTTCTTCTGTATAATTCTCCACCCATCAGCTCAGGCATCTCTCCTGCAGTGTGGTCTGGACTGGTTCAGGGCGATTGGTGTTTAGATCTTGCCAGAACACAGCTGAAACCAAAGGTCATTAGGGAACGGAACACCTGCGCTCTTCACCAAGACAAGAGGAACAGGTCAGAGTCCATGGCTGGTGCCAGCAGGACAAGCAGACAAGGACGTAGAGGATGTAACCAACCTTACAACTCAACTAGTTGACTTTTACAGGGTACTGCATCCAAAGTGTGTAGAATGAACGTTCCTTTCACGTGAACCCGGAACATTCTCCGAGATAGATCCCACGTGGGGCTGTGACGGGCTGTTAGGACATGATGGTTTGTAGAAAACTCAGCTATTCTGTAATTGGTGAATTCTACCAAAGAAATAAAATGTAAACTTCACAAATTCTTTCAGAAAATACAGGAAGATGAAATGCATCCCAGCTAAGTCTGTGAGGCCAGAATAATACGCACACCAGAGCCTTTCACTGGTGTTACAAGAAAAGAACGTTACAGAGCAACAGCCCTCCTGAATGTAGGTGCAAAAACCTTCACTGACAGATTAACAAATCAAAAGAAGGTTAAGTTGTCAGGCACAGTGAGATGTGGAAGGCAAACTTGACAAATATTCAAAACCCAAATTTATCTAACAACATAGCAGTTTTATTTATAATATCCTCAAAGTGGAACCAGCCCAGATCTCCTTCAACAGGTGAAAGGCTAAGAAATGTTGGGGTGTGCAAACAACAGAATACCCCTCATGGATGATGGTGAATAATCTGTTTATGAGCACAGTAACATGGAGCTGTCCCACAGACTCCCTGCTGAGAGAATGCAGCCTTTACACATGAGATCATCCTGTGTGATTCTGTTAAGAGGAGTTCTAGAAGAGTCTAACTAATCTATAGTGACAGAAATCAGATCAGTGACTGCCTTGGGCTGGCGGGGGAAATGCCTGCAGATTGACAGAGGGAAGTTTTCCAGGGGGAAGGGTGTGTGGGTGGGGTGGAATTCACTGTATCCTAATTTGGGTTTTGGTTGCATGGGGTGTATACATTTATCAAACCTTGTCACACTGTGCGCTTAATCAGTACATAGTATTGTAGGTAGTTTATGTCTCAGTATAGTTCAGTTAAAAATAAAAGAATGAAGTAGAAAGCCCACAGTCATCCAAAGTAGGAGTACGACAGCAAACCTCAAATGTTGGCTTCCGGTCTCTTAGTTAAACATGAAGTATTAGAACTCCGAATATATTTCTTGAAAAAAAGACCTAAAGATGTATTGCAGCCCACCCAGCCCACAAGAAATGAACCTGGACAAGGAACGAGAGGATGGAAAAGCTGGCGCAGAGAACACGGAAGTCCACCCCCCTTACCTACGGCTCGGAGTCATGAGTTCGGACACATCGTGGATCGTCGCTGTTAGGCAGCAGCCCCTGCCAACACGCACTGACGGAATTTCTCTTCTGGTGTCCTCTGCTGTTGTGGCGCAGTTCCCAGTAAGCAGTCCATTTGTCAGGCCACCCGTCACTCTTTCAGGGGAAGCTTCCAGTGGTCTTAGGTAATCCTATAAGCCAGTGAACAGTGTGTTCTCTTTCAGCAAAAGCCAGCAATTGCTAAGTGATATTTAAATTTAGACATCCTTCCATGAGAATTACTGAGCAAGAAAAAAGTCTCCCTACAGAAAGAATAGCTGAACAGAACATAATCACGCTCATATTCAAGAAAAAGGGTTATTATTAAAGCAGTAAGTTCCATAAGCCTCAGGAAGCAGGTACCTGTCTTCAAGCCCACTTTTTATCTATGAGCCATGTGTATTATTTTCTTATTATCTTTATTATATGCAGTGTGATCTTAACCAGATTTTAAAAAGTGAATAGAAAAAAAATCATCAAGAAATATGCAAATTGAATGGCGGGGTTTGGATGGAATTTTCCTTTTGCTTTTTTATATTTCCCAAACTTTCCAGAATGGGATTGTATTTCTGTTATAATCAGAGAATGTAGACTTAAGATTGTCTTCGCCATGCTGCTGTGTGCCCAGGCCAGCGTGTGTGCCTCTGGAAAGCAAAACCACAGGAACAAGGCATGTGTGTTCATCTCGGTGCCTATGAGTGATGTGGCATGTTTGGAGAAATTTCCATTCATCCGTTTTTATTCATTTCCAAAAATTTTATGAGTATATTATAAGTCCTTAATTTTCTTTGCGTTTCAAAAAGGTATCCATCACATGGCATTTGTGGAAACAAAGGGAAGCGCTTGCTCAAAGAAGGTCTGTGTAGCCTCGCGCCTCGGGCCTCACCTTTGGAGGCAGACACAGCCTCCCTTACCCCACCGGGCGCTGTGTGTCTTCCCTCAGTCTCTGTGTCTCGGGCCATGTGTGGAACCTCTGCTGTTCCATCTCAATTCAGGATTTTTATCTCATTATCACTAAGGCATCTCACAGCAAGGTCCCGGGAGTCAGCCAGTCACAAGTAAGTGTTTCAGGATGGAATTTTCCTCACTCCTTGGCAACTTCTGACTGCATCATAAGTCAAAGAGAGGAAAACAGGATTTGTTTTTCCCTCCCCTGAAATCAGTCCTCTCTAGGGGCAGCCGTACATGCGGTGGTAGCACCTGCTTATGTGAGCTCTGCACCCACCGTGTGTCGAGATCACGAGGAGCTGACGGTGGAGGGAACACGCCCTGTTCCTTCTGCAGGCTGTTAAGCTGAGGGAGAATTTGGGGCTGAAATTAGAGTGGAGCAGTTCTGCTTTCTGCAGGAGTTCTGTGAATTCCCCTCACACTGGGACCTGCTCAGATGTGCGACACCTACGCGGAGCTCTGGTGCACTGTGCACATGGTTCTGTAAGGCGAGGAAGCTGGGGTGTTCCTGCAGCGCTGGGGCCTCTGCTCCGCTTCCCTGAGATGTTCCTCTCAGACCACAGGGGCTAAACTGCAGAGGGCAAACAGCCGTGTGTCCAGAGCACACGGCAAGCAGGGAGCGCGCTCGGAGGACAGTCCAGCCAGCTCCCTCCCTCCTTCCCGTGTCCCCTGGCGCTCCATCTAGGACAGACACTTGCACATCACAGAAAACCCCACTGACCTATAAAGTGAGCGTGACAGAGACATGATGTCTGCTCCTCAGCTGAAAGTTCATATATGAAACTGGAATGTTCTGGGAAAACTGGTCGTTGGCATTTGAAGCCACTGATCCTGAGAGTCAGGATGCTTCTGTGTGAATGCAAACTTGGGGTCCATGGGTGAGGTGCGGCCCCCCATGCATGCCTGTTTCCTTCGTCGTGGGCCGTGGGCTCTATGGTAAAGATGGGTCTGGGAGTTGATGGCCCCTTCCTCAGGACCCTAGAACAGGACACGGGGACGTTCTCTTGCCTAGAGACCGATTTCTGACCCGGCTGTTTCTTGGACGCCTGTGGAAGGTTGTGTCTGTGGTATAATTGTTCACATGGGTTCATTCAGCTTTTCATGCATCGTCCCCTCACCTGCAGGACCACAGAAGAGGGACCCCACTCTTCCATTCCCAATGGCTTCACGCTCTCACATCCACTGGATAGACAGCAGAGTCTTTGCCACTAATTAATAAGCATGGTCTTATGACCCAGACACCCATTAAAATGTTATCAGTATTATTAGATCCTGTATCTTAGACCTAAACTCATTCTGCATTAACACTGGGATCAGTGTGGTCCCTCTCACAGCACCTGGACTCAGCGCCTTGATCAGGAGCCCAACTCTCCTTCCAGTTGAAGTCTCTCCCTCCGTCTCCTTCCCTCTGACTTTCCTGTTTTGTGCCATATTTTGTTCAAAAAAGTAAAGAGAGAAGAAATAGTTTAAATTCAAATAGGAGAGCACTTATTTCTTTCCAGATATTTGAGGACATTATCACATGCTTTTTTAACAGTTAAATGTGTTTCACTTAAGTTTTGTGAGACGTGATGTTTGGGGTGCCTGTGGGTGCCTCTCCTTGTGTTCCGTGCCTTCTGACTGACTCTGTGACTGTTGACTCTCGTTTATTTTGCGCAGGCTCCACCATCGCCTTCCTCGCCCATAGCTAACGAACCAAAGTATGAGAAGCGCTGGCTAGACACCTTGTCAGTTCCTCTGTCTATGGCTCGGATCTCAAGGTGCAAAGCTGGAACGGAAAAATTAAGGTGTGTGACCCTTGTCTGAAGTGCAAAAGCTGATGAACCCCATATACTTCCCCCGGTCCCAACAGTCCATCGACTGCTCCAGTGTCCGACTGTGTCCTTAAGTAGGTGCATGTCAGTGTCTCCTGGTAGACCTAGCGTTTGCAAAAAAAGAAAAAAAAGTTAAACACCAAAAAAAACCAATAATCAGAACAACAGCTGACGTATGGTTAGGAATAGCCTGTCTAGTGGTGAGGTGACCGTTGTTAGTGTTTTTGAAACATAGTTATTAGAAGAAGAAATTGTATTTTCAGTTTTAAATCTTATCAGAATTAGATTGGAAATAAGACGGCATTCTTGTCCAAGATGCAAATGATTACAGAAAAGTCAAACTCTTCGTTAATAAAATGAGGGGGCGGACCAGCACCAGTGTTAAATGAATACTCGCTAGTTTTCGAGCTGTGTTAGCTAAATAATTCCAAAAATTTATCTATGAAGGTTGTGTGTCCATAACTGTTTTGTGAAGTAAGGCGGCATTTTTCAGTCCTAACCAGTACAGGGTCACCTGTGCTAACTGAGCTGTGGATCACCGTGGAGAAGCCACGAAGTAAGTACCTGGTGAGTTTCCTTTCAGTCTTAAGAAAAGTGTGGAGAAAACTGCGGCCGTGCGTCTGCTTAACTGTCAGCAAGGGAAGAGTGTGCGTTGTTTTGAAATCAATCATTGTCCTTGATAAACGTGTGCAGGCTTGTGCCAGCGCCTGTGGAGGGGTGGGGAGAGTGGATTCTGAGGGTCTCTCCACTCATCCTTCAGTGGACGGGAATGTCTGGCTGCTCATACTTCTGGTGAGTGGTTTTAACCCAATCCTCAGTATTCACTGAAATAAGTTGCACAGCCTCTTACAATGAATGTGCGTGTCCGTGAGAGGTTACTTACCATACCATAGCACCAAAAGGAAGTCTAAGCTTGACTTTGAAATGTGTGACCATCTTTGGAAAAGTAGATAGACCTGATAAGATAGGTGTAGACAGACCTGATAAGTTAGAGAGGTGGAAAGATAGATGGATAGATAGACAGACAGCTAGATGGATAGACAGATTGATAGGTAGATAGCCATTTGTAAATTTAATAAGATAGTTAAATGGGTACACAGTCAATGCTCTCGCTGCCGCAAGTCTCTCTTCAAATGTGCGTGTGCATGCACGCATGCGTGTGGTCTCGTTACAATTCATCTCTGGGTTTGGGATTGGTTCATTTAGGAACTGAGTAGGGGTTGGGGCACACATCTGTCTTGACAAAGGAAGAAATACTGTGCTGTCTGATCTCTTGTCTCTCAGTGTGTTTGAATTAAATGGTTCTTGGAAAAATAGAGTCTCTGGACCTCATCAAGCACTTCCTGGGCCATCTTCCATCAAACATGATGAAGAGAAGACACGACATCCAGCCTGTGGTTGGAAGGTCAGTGCCCTCGTTTGTCACAGGCTGTGCCTGGTCCTCCCACTGACCCCACACCTGCAGGACACTCAGTGAAATGCATCCTACGCTGAGCGCACGATGGAAACTCTGGTGATTGTCAACTAACTGGAGTTTACCGGCCACTCTGCCTGAGAATACTGGAGATGCTGTTATTCTTGGAACAAGAGTCCTACCCGCCAAGCACCACTGAGCTCTCATCAGGACGAGTGCAGTGCATCTGCAGGGCGAAGGGACATCTACCAAGCAGACGTCTACTGCCCGGGCCACTCACAAGTCCCCTTGTTCTTTTCCCCTTAGAAGTATATCAATCCTAGCAGCAAACTGAAAATCTTTTATTTTTTTTATAAGACAAGAATATGTTGTTTTGTGAAGGCACATGTGTCCTATTAGTTTTGCTAACTTTTTCCATGATTTTAAGCAGGCTCTAAATATGGGCAGGAAGATGCAAAATGCAAAGTAAATAAGGACTCAAACGCTGCATTTTATCAGATGTGTTTTCCTGACACACATTGGTGTTAAGGTCCATGTTGAGAGCCTGACGATGCTCCTAGCTCCGTCTTTCCTGGGGCCCCTCTGGTCCGTGCTGAAGGAAAGGAAAAGAGGAGCTGTGAGCGTTCCACTCCATCAGACAGAATTCTGCGGCTCCTGGAGATTTCCTCCCGAGGGACCCGTGGTCTCAGGAGTACAAGGAACACGTTTAGAAATTGTCAATTTTAAATCAAAGTTTTTAAAATGTTAAAACAAAAGCTGTAGACTATAGCCTGGGAAGAATTCACGGGAGGTGTTGCAGAGTGGATAAAAACAATCGGATGAGCAGGTCAGAAATCAGCCTCCTCGCTGCCCTGACCGTCACTGTCTGTTGTAGGAACTCAAATTGACGGCCACCTCCTCTGGGTCTTCCTTTTTTGAAAGTAATGGACCAATGATGGTTGAAGTTCCGTAGTTTTCTGAAATTAAAAAAAAAAAAACCTCTGTAAAGGGTAGATGCATATTTAAACCTAACTCATTTGACATACGCATCGAAATGATAAAAAGTCCGTTGTACTGAGTGCGACTGTCTGTGTGTCCCTTTCATGTCCCTTTGCCCCAGGTGCTGCAGGACTGTCTTCCGCCAGAAGCTCTCTCCTCTTTTCACTGTCAGACGGAGTTCAGTCTCACGTGGTTCTTGGTAAAATGAGAACTATGCTTTTAGATAAATTATGTATCACTACTAATAAAGATTAAATCGTTGGCTACACAGTACGGAAAAAGATGGTTCAGTAAGAATCTGGGGGAGAACACCCTCCGATGAAGCTCAAACAGACGTGAAGACAGCAGTACGTTCAGTGGGCGGAGCAGCAGGCCCCACAGAAGAGGGCTTTCCTCAAGTGCTTCTGGAGGAAAACAAACCACGGCCCCAGACAGTCGGAAGGCAGTCTCACAACATTGCAGAGTGCTCAGCCTAATCATGCAATTTTGGCCACTGCGTCAGTTACACCGCGAATCTCTGACCTCAGGTGGAGAACGGCATGGTTACTAACGGGGTTAATGGTCAGGAGGGGGCGAGAGTGTTGTTTAGCGTGACCGTATCAGTTTTCTGCTGCTGTGTAAGCAGCAGCTTGAACAACGGGCTTATTATCTCACGGTTTCCGTCTCCTTGGGTCAGGAGTCTGGTGGGAGTAGCTGGTCACGTGCCTGGGGTCTCACCAGGTTGACATCAAAGTGTGGCCTGGCTGCATTCTCATCTGAGGCTGGGGTCCCCTTCAAGGCTCAGTCAGGTTCTTCGCAGAATTCAGTTCCTCGAGGTTATGGGACTGGGTTCCCCATCTTCTTGCTGGCTGTCAACTGGGGCCCACTCTCCACTGCTAGAGCCCACCCATCTCCATGCCACGTCCCCCCACCTGTCAGGCAGCAACAGGGGGCTTCTGTGCATCGAATCCTGACTTCCTTGTCTCTGACCTCCAGACCCAGATGTAGAGGCTCATGGGACCAAGCAGGTCCGCCTGGATCATCTCCTTGACTTAAGGCTAACTGATTTCAGATCTTACTGACATTTGCAGAATCCCTTCCAGCAACACCTAGATTTGTATCTGATGGAATAACTGTGAGAAGCTGCATGTACACCAAGGGGTGGAAAATTTGGGGGCTCTTAGAATTCTGCCACTGCACCTACCCAACCAACTTCTCCTTCTGGAAGACACACAGCATGCTCAGAGACGTCTTAGGAATTTATCCTGTGAAGATGCTCTGTGGCTGGTTGTGCTTCCACGTGGTACCATGGAAAGCATGCTGGTTTGGAATTCCAGGACCTGGATTGGAGCCGAGGTGCCTGCCATAGCGTGTGTGTGTTTTAGAAGCAAAGGAAGAGAGCCCATCCTTAAAAACAAAAGAAATTTTGTGCGCTTGCAAAATACCCATAATCGTTTCAACACTGAGGAAGCTTTATGAGATAGCTTCACACAAGACGTTATGAAGTATGGAGCTCCCTCAGACATAGACAAACCGCTTCACCTCTGGGGAGGCGGACGGTGTCAGAGAAAGGGTAGCGACTTGGAACTAAAAGATTTCTAATCCCACTTTGCCTTTTCAGGCCTTATGACTTGCATAACTCATCCAGGTTCTTTTGACTGCCTCCTCATCCGTTTAAACCGATAGGGTGGGAGATGATATTCAAAATTTACCACTTCCTAAGATAGTTTTATGAAGATAACGTAAAATAAAATTGTAGGTTTAAAGGAGCTTTGAAATGTACTGAACAGATGCAGGATTACAGGATTTTTTAATTGTTTGTGGAATGAGGAATGCCTACATAGAAAGAGGGGAATTCAGATGAGTGATTTTCACCAGAGAAAAGCATCAGGCATTTCTAGAGTCTGTGTGCCACACGCCACTCTGCATCGCTGGACTCTAACATGAGGGTCTGCTTTCTATTTTCCTGCTCAGAAGAGCTCTTTCCATGTCTCTTGTTTTATGCTGGCCTCGAAAAGAAAAGGGAGTTGTTTGTCTTTTCTCTTCTTCTAAAGCATGGAAGGAAGGAAGGAGGGAGGGAGAGAGGCAGGGAAACAAACTATAGCTTCGGGTCCTTTTGTCCACCTCTGTCATGTTTTGTAGGATAACGGTGAAATGATGTCTCTTCACTTACAGTGAAATCCCGTTTTGCTTTGCAGGAGCTCACCTCATTTTAGAGGAAAGAGCACGTACGGGCCAGATGGCCTTGCAGTAGTTGTCCCAGAGACAGACAGATTGCAGATAAGCACATTTTGAAAAGTGATACTACAAGTCAAAATTATCTTGCTAAATACTCTGATTTGTTTTTCAAAGGACGGTTTCATGTTTAAATATCCATGCCAAAGAAAGACTCTTGTGTAGTAAATTTTCCAGTAAACTTTCCGTAGTTGGGGAATCCTAGAAGCATAGCCCTCTTGCTTCCTGTCAGCCTGGTGTGGTAGAGCAGAGTTGGGGAGACAGCATCCCGGGCGCCTATGGGCATCTCAGTAAGAGGAAGGGCCTACATAGGATTAGGGGTCATGTGGGGTGGCAGTAGGGATTGTCGGGAACTCAGGGTCTGATC